GAGGCCTAGTTCCCGTTGGATTTCCGCGATAAAAGTCAAACGTCGTTTCTCCGGCTTAAAACTATTGGTGTACTGAATTTCACTCAAACAAGTTCAGTAGTTTAAGACATAAAGTCCCGGAACTTAACACATGGTCCCTGTTATTCTGGGATTTCCGCGATATTACTCTACTTTATATTATGGCGTAACTAGGTAATAGTTAGACATATAATATTGTGGACTTTTACGTTGATAATTGATATAAATGTCCTCTATAAGACTAGAACGTCACTTGGCTCTATTGTCTATAATTTCCACAGCGTAAGCAATATAAGGATTTTTTGGTAGTTTTTTCACACATTGGGTAAACATTATCGAACTTCTCTTATTAAATATAGCCTATGTCCGTCACTGGTAATGTAGGATTCAAACGGTAAAAGATTTTTTTAAATCAGTTCGGTTGTGTCGAAGACTAATTAATTCAAAAACAATAATCAAATCTTTCCTCTTTATAATATTAGTGTAAATAGTATAATATTATAAACATTACACTACAAAACCTGAAAGAAAATAAAACTAAACTAAAAAAAATTGAAATTATTACTATCTCCAAATTATGCTTCAGAGTATAAAAGATGTACCTAATTGGTAATAATTGTGTCTTTGACGTGATATACTGATATTAAAATAAGAGTCGCAGTGGAGTGCGGAGGCGACAGCTGGCGGCCGCGGACGTACGACCTTGCAGTGGCAGCGCCAAGGTTTCGCCGGCCATTGACCTCGCGTCGCGACGCTATCGACCGTCATTGCCACGTTGTCGTCCAAACTTCATAATGTCTCATCAGTGAGCTCGAACTAATCAAATTATTTAATGCCTTCGATACAGTTCTGCTCCGGTCGCTCTAGACAAGGCTCGGCTGAAGGCTTGTATTTGTTCAAAGACGTTTGACGGAGACCCGGGCGGTGTGGCGTAGGGAGGGGGGGACACAGTGCGAGGTGAGGTCTACGGCCGGCGCGGGCGCGGCCGACGACCGTCGCCATCTCACCTGCCGGCGGACTACACTTAAAATATAGAAAACTACGACAATCAGTACACATTTTTCATATTTTGTCAGGCTTTTGAGGACCAATATAATATCCATCCTTCTATAGTTATTCGCGTCTTATCGAATGCGCGTTCCTCTGTACTGAGATGAGAATCTGCAAAATCTCCACCTTTCAGAGTTCCATAGTAAAAACGAGAATCCTATTATTAACACTATGCCCGTCTGTCTGTCTGTCATCAGTCTGTGTATGTATACATTACATGCCTCATGAGACAGATATACAATTGACATTTGGACATATCATGTATTTCTGTTGCCACTGTAATACTGGTCGGACTGGGAGAAAATGCAACAATGTTGATTTTAATAATTCTATTTATTGTTCGAATAAATGAACAATGGCACGGAACACTACTTGCATTTAACCGGGTTTTCCTTTTTTCTTCGTAAGCTTAACCTTCCGTTAAACAAACATTTTGTTTTACCCGGAATAACAATTTGTAGATTACACAAAGAGTTGCTCCGTGCGGAATCTAACCCGCTACGTGTTGCGCGGCAGTCAATCGTAAGTACTCGTCTGATTCGATAGAACTTATCTAGATAGTATAAAAATACCATTTTCCTTAGTCAGTGGTCATAGCGTCACGCGTGTGGCGTATGTTTGTGCTAAGTAGGACTTACCAGGTGTCATTTCTTCAGACGAAAAGGCCATGATGTTTATTGTATGTTCTCGGTCGGTTACTACATGACGTGCACTCATTTCTTTCATAATAGCATACCCATACAAGAAGTGTTGATGTTATTTTGATATTTGTACATAACGGTTGATTATTATTTAATAGGCATAATAACGTAGTTTCCTGTCAATAACAAATTGTGCCACTTGGGTCTTATTGATCGTAGCGTAAGGTTTTGTAGCCTCCCTAGACAAATGGACTATCGAAAACAAGATAACCTCGAAGCGAAAGTTTAGGATCCGGAAATTAGCGCGTTAAACCAAACCCAACTCTTCAGATTTATATAATTATGTAGTATAGGCTGTCTATCTATACATATAATAAAAAACTAGAAGTGTATATTGTGTACAATGACAATAATAAAAAATGAATAGTTAGGGTGTTACAAGATGATACCGAACTTAAAAATGTGAGTGTCCCTTCGTCCAGCATACTCACCATGGAATCCTCATATTTCATGAATGTCAAAAAACTGTTCTGAAATAGTGCTAAATAGTGCCCAAAGGAAAAAAATAGTGCTCTTGTACTTGCGAAGTTATAGCCATAGTTCGATGAGTATGCTGGACGAAGGTTTCGCCCAGCATACTCACCTCCGTCCGGAGAATCTGTATACGCTTCAAACATAATTCATACTTCAAAAAATAGTTCCCAAATAGTGCCAAGCGGTGCCCAAAAAGAAAAAACAGTGCTCGAATAACTTCGGAGTTATAGGCTTCGTTCAGTGAGTATGCTGGGCGTAGGTTCTACGCCCAGCATACTCACCTCAGTGCGCGAATATCGAACGAGCTATAGGTACAATTTACGTCTCAAAAAATTGTGCTTGAAATAGTGCCCAATATCAGTCCAATTTTTGCTTGACTTTTGACCTAGAAAACCATTAAATTTGATTGTAAACTTCTACATACATTACATTGAGTACAGTCGAATACAATATTATTAACTTTCTTTCTAACAATTTTTGTCTTGTGTAAATTATTAATTGTCTATGTAAGGGAGTATTTACTTTAGAATCGCAATATTATTAATTACACATTATTTTAATAATACTTTATAATAATATGATTAAGCCTTCGCGCGTCGCATGGGACCCCGGTAGCTAGGAACAATGATTTTATATATTTTGTCTAGATCACGGCGCTTGAAGGATTAAGATATCAAATGAAGTAAATCATGCATGAAAAATAAAGTTGCTGTTATTAATGCTTACATTACAACTGACAAAATTATTCAAAATAATCATTTTCCGGATCAAGGACGGTACCACAACGTTTACGGAATTGACCTGTATTCCTCATGTGATAAAGTTCAATATAGTGTGGCAGTAATGGATGCACGTACGGTCAATAGGTATGGGGCTTACGACGCGCGGCGCCCGCGACGCAAATGAATATGTTTATGTTTAAATACTAGATGGCGCTGCCCTAACATCTTACGATTATTAGACAAGACTGATCTGTATTTTGAAGGTGATAAGGGTCCATTTTGTGTCACAAAGCGACGCGCGGCGCCCGCGACGCTTTTATTTATTGGCTGCAAATGACTGTTTTTATTCAGACAAACACACAATGCAATGAAGTAATAGACTTCATTTACGCTTAAAGTTTCATTCATTTATTATTATTTATAAAATATATAATAATGCATTTAATCGAAAGTTTTTGACATGTGAGAAAATACCATAATTATTTCCAATAACATGAAGTCTACAATTAGAAAGTTTAATATTTTTGTCCAAAAACATGTGTCGACGACTGTACCCCATTTTACGTTAGTATGTAGAAGTTTACATTAAAATTTAATGGTTTTCTAAGTCAAAAGTCAAGCAAAAATTGGACTGATATTGGGCACTATTTCAAGCACAATTTTTTGAGACGTAAATTGTACCTATAGCTCGTTCGATATTCGCGCACTGAGGTGAGTATGCTGGGCGTAGAACCTACGCCCAGCATACTCACTGAACGAAGCCTATAACTCCGAAGTTATTCGAGCACTGTTTTTTCTTTTTGGGCACCGTTTGGCACTATTTGGGAACTATTTTTTGAAGTATGAATTATGTTTGAAGCGTATACAGATTCTCCGGACGGAGGTGAGTATGCTGGGCGAAACCTTCGTCCAGCATACTCATCGAACTATGGCTATAACTTCGCAAGTACAAGAGCACTATTTTTTTCCTTTGGGCACTATTTAGCACTATTTCAGAACAGTTTTTTGACATTCATGAAATATCAGGATTCCATGGTGAGTATGCTGGACGAAGGGACACAAATGTGATTAAAACATTTTTTTTTCTGTCTGTATGTTCACGCGTCACGCAAAAACTACTGGACCGATTACGATGGAACTTCGTATGATTATACTTTAATATCCTGGGCACAACGCTGGGTAAGAAAGAAAGAAAGAAGAAAAAAAGAAAAAACATTTATTTGACAGTAGGTACGCACACAGATACAAAAAAAAATACAAAATTAAAAAAGAAAATAACAAATAAATACACATATTTATATACCTCTAGATATAGAAAAAAAAAAAACAAAGAAACGACAGAGTATAACAACACAGTGACAATAGAATAATAACACAGTAAAGTAATTAAAAACTAATAAAAACAATATATAAATAAATAACATTTAACGGCGCATGTCCTTGCCAAAAGGGCCTTCATCTCAGCATTAAGTTGAGGTACTTTTTATTGTAAAAGTATGTACACAAAAAACAAAGTTAATTGTGCAGCTAAATCCTTACACACACTCCGTGGACTTGACGCTGTGCAGCCGATGGTTGAGATTGGGTTGAACCGATATTATAAATATGAAAATATGTGAATTTGTGTGTTTGACAACCAAAACGGCTGAAGATACCGGGATGAAATATGGTTACTTTTTAATCCCGGGAACGCGGGCGAAGCCGCAGGCAAAAGATAATAGAATATATGACTATCGACACGATACTGCAGAATGATGAATCAATTACGGTTTTCGAATACGGAATCCAACCAAATGCGTAATTTGTGAAAATTCATGGGTGTATGTAATTACGTATCCGTATGTTTGTTGATTTTATAAAAAGTATTGGATGGATTTAAATGATATTTGATACAAACAGGGTCTGGAATAATACATTTTATTCCGGAACGCGGGCGTTGCGTCCCACTGACAGAAGCTGCATGCATACATTTTGTGAAATGATCCTTTAATCGTATAGCATTTCGTCAGGGCCGGTCGCGGAGGCGTAGCACAAGCGCATAGCGCTGCAGCGTGCACTGAGCGCGGCCACCAAGCGCGGCCACCGAGCGCGGAGCAGAGCGCGGCAGTGCGCCGGAGTCCACACCGGCGGCAAGACGGACAGCGCGCGGCAGCCGGGGCCCGCGCCGCGCGCCTCGGGGCGGACGCCCGTCCCCCCGCCGAGGCGACGCTGGGTCCCGCCCTCCTGTCTGCGCCACCACGAGGTGCCCGACGGAGATGCCAAGCACGACATCATATTCCGGAAAGTAAGTACTGATCGTTACTGTTACCGACTTGCCATCTGCCTCGCTCGCTGACACTCTTTCTCTGCTTGCAGGTGAGGGGCATCTTGAATAAGCTCACGCCGGAGAAGTTCCAGAAACTGAGCGATGATCTGCTCGGTTTGGAGCTCGACTCCGACAAGGTGCTTAAGGGTGTGATCCTTCTCATTTTCGAGAAGGCACTCGACGAGCCCAAATATTCGTCGATGTATGCACAGCTGTGCAAAAGATTAAGCGAAGAGGCACCGAACTTCGAACCTCCCGGTCAGCCCTGCACATTCAAACTGTTGCTTCTGAACAAATGCCGGACCGAATTCGAGAACCGCGCTCAGGTATGTACAACACCTCGCATCTCACGAACACAGGACACACTGCAAACCCGCACAACTCTCATTGTCTCGTTACATCTTTCGATAGGCGTTCGCCGCTTTCGAAGACAAAGCGTTGTTGCCGGAAGAGGAGGAAAAGCGACATCTCGCAAAATGCAAGATGTTAGGCAACATCAAATTTATCGGGGAGCTCGGCAAGCTGGAAATCCTAGCCGAGTCCATCCTGCATAGATGCATCCAGAACCTGCTGGCGCGGCGCGCGGCCGCGGAGCACCACGAGGACCTGGAGTGCCTGGCGCAGCTCGTGCGCACCTGCGGCCGCGTGCTGGACTCGGAGCGCGGCCGCGGGCTCATGGACCAGTACTTCGCGCGCATCGAGACGCTCTCCGCCTCGCGCGACCTGGCGCCGCGCATCCGCTTCATGCTGCGCGACACGGTACCATATACCTATACTCCTCGTGCGACGTTACCGTCGACTTGTAACTTCTGTATATTGAAAAATACCAAATACAAATAGTGTGTTACTTAGATAGACACCGAACCCAAAAATGTTCGTGTATCCCACGTAAAAACTACCGGTCCGATTACGGCGAAACTTGTATATTATGCTTTAGATATTTTGGCTATATACTAATGATAGTAGTACTAGTGATGTTCGAATATTAATAAATTATGTAAAACGGTGCGTTGAGTGGTTTGGGCTGTGCGTTGATAGATCACATATGTATATTTAGATTAAGGCCTAAAAATACAAAACTATTAGGTCATAAAACACAAAACTTAATATATGTACTTGCGTGAGTGAAGCTGCGGGGCACAGATAGTGGTAACTTAAAATTATAGAAATACAAATAAAAAAAAACAATGAATATTATTAAAAAGGTAACCTCTTATTACGCGAGACTACGTGGCGGAATGCTGCTACCTAAGTCGAAAAATATAATTTATAATGAATGTAGTATGTCCCAAATTACAACGCTGCTGTGATGTTAAAATATCGACAATTGTTTATTTCGTCATCCAAATGTGACGTTCACAAGCGAACCGGTGTTTCGTCCGGGAGCTTCGTGCCTTTGCTGAGCCGTGGCGTGCGCAGGTGGAGCTCCGTCGCGGCGGCTGGGTGCCGCGCGCCGCCGTGTCGGCCGAGGGCCCCGTGCCCATCCACCAGCTCCGCGCCGACGACGACCACGTGCCGCGCCGCGAGCGCGAGCGCGAGCGCGACCGCGACCGCGAGCGCGACTCCCTGTTCCGCGGCGGCCTGCGCGCGCGCCCGCTGGACGACGTGCTGGCCGGCCTCAGCCTGCAGCCGGCCGCGGCGCTGGTGCCGGCGCCCGACAAGCTCTTCGGCAACGGCTTCGGCGCCTCGCGCGACGGCTTCCGCCAGCGCTCGGCGCCCGGCTACTACCCGCGCCAGGGCAACAACCTGCACTACAACAAACACTCGCAGACCAACCAGCAGGGCAACGGTTCCAAGGTAAACTTACGTCTCGTCGCGGTGGCGAAAGCTCGTCGTTTTCATTATACTACGTTATCGTCTCTTCCGAACGGACACGTTGAATGTATATGATCGTATTGCACTGCGTGTCGCAGGACGGGTCGTCGCGCTCCAACAAGGCGCGCGTGTACACGGCGGGCGCGCTGGCGGACGTCCAGATGCGGCCGGCCGCCAACTCGCTGATGTTCACGGCCAACAAGCTGTCCAAGCCGCAGCCGCAGCTGCCGCTGGCGCCCGTGCAGCAGAGTGAGTGTCTGTCTCCCGCGCTATGTATGTATGTATGTATGCCGTGTACTGACGTAGTGCCGACTCCTACAGACGTACTGACTCCTGCATTCGCGAGCACGCCGCAGCTACTGAAGGAACCCACGATCACCATCAAGCCGGCCGCTGACAAGAAAGACAAGCCGAAAAAGGATAAGGTATGGCCTGTCGATGTTCAATCATACCTTTTGTTATTCCTTGTTTATGTGAAGTATACAGTTGAGTTCAGTCCCTCGTATATCGCCCAAATGACCGGAATCTTGTGGTCCCGTGATTGGTAAAGACATACGATCCTGACAGGTTGTTTTTAACTACAAATATCCCTGTATATTCATATAAATTAACTTTAAGGAAAAATATACACTAAATAATAATACTTACTTAACTTACCATTATCAAAATTGAAATATAAAAAATAAATAGCTTTTATTTCTGTTCAAGTCTCAGGAGGTGGGGTAGTATGTGACGAGGCAGAAGTATTGACTACAAATATATTTATTGTACTAAAACACGTGTTAAATTAATAGCATTTGTCTCTAACGTTACACATTGCAACCGAAATATATCGAGGGCGGTCAATGAAAACAACTATAAATAAATATCACGCGGTGCAGGGCCCCAACAAAGAGGAAGCGTGCCGGCTGGCCCTGCAGGCCGTGGACGAGGCGCTCACCGCCGACGACGACGCAGAGCTCGACGCGCTGCGCTCTCTGCGCGCGCTGCAGCCCGCCGACAAACTGGTGCGGCGCTGTCTGGCCGCCGTGCTGGAGCACGCGCTGCACGCGCCGCGCGGGGACGACGCCGCCCTGCGCGCCGCCGTGCGCGTGGCCCGCGCCCTGCGCCGCGCCGCGCCCGACGCCTGGCGCGCGCTCGTGCAGGCCGCGCACCCGCACCCGCGCCT